GCGGTGCTCCCTCTCCACTCCCAAACTCTGCTTAAGTATGATAGTGCCGGCCATGCTAAGCTATCCTCATTAATCTCTGCAGCAAGACAAATTGCGGTTTTGGGGTAGGGATTCAGGGGCTTCGGGGGGAGCTCCTGAGGTGGTTAGTGGTTGGGGTCGGGGAGATTGAAGGAAAGGGCCTGAAGAGATCGAGGGGTTTGGGACAGATGACCTACTGGGAAACAAAACCAACATAACTTGGCTTCATGCACGGTATATGCCCTTCTCCCACAACTGTATATCTCTCCACAAGCTGTTTGTCTCTATATTTCTTTCCCTCCCCATCTGTCTCTCTCTGTCACTCTATCTGTCTGTCTCTCCCTGATGTACAGCACCAATCATCACAGAGTCCCAGAGACGGAAGGAGACTGTGGTTTCGTGTGTTAATGCTGAGGCAGAACTGAACCGGACCTTTCTGTCTGCTAAACACTAATATTGTCCACAAACACAGCTTTATGTTTTACCAGAACCACAAATACTTGGGGGGACATGCTTCACTGAACTGTGGCAGACCTTGGTTCCAAAATTCAGACCTCTAATGAAATTACAAATACCAGAAACAAATACCAGAGAGACTGCTGAGCTAGACACAAGCCTTTTTGAAAACAACTATTATCATCAGTGGGAACTTGTTATGTTTTGTTTTTCACAATGGCATTATAATACCATGGTAATGTTCTCTGTGTGGATAACAATGGCTCTTTTTTCCCCTCAAATCTCAAAGTGAAATGAAAAACAAAATCAGTCATGAAAATCTCCAGCCGAGATGCCTAAATATTTGAATATTTCAGATTTTCGGTCGTTAAATAATTGAAAAAGAAACAAGAATCCTTTCAAGGCTTAAAAATGTGTGCGCACAGATGTGCTTCCACTAAACCATGTGAAACATCTTCCCAGCATGTCTTCAAAGGCAGGTTAAAACAAACAAAACCTGATGCCTCAATTATTGGTGCGTCAGAAAGTCTCATACACAGACTGGTAAGTGCAGTTAATTACAGTAGAACTGCATTTAATTCACCGTGCAGCTCAAACCTCAATCACACAAGGGTAGCTGCGCACACACACATACGTGACCACACACATGTGTGTGCGCACACACACACACACACACACAGAGGCAGACTCAAGCACACATACACAGGATATAAAGAGGGAAAGAGAGGTAAATGAAATGTTTTCACTTGGAGCCAATTACACAAAGAGGAACCATGTCATTATCTGCATTTGCGGATTCTATTTTCCCAAACTACGCTCGGCTGTTGGCTCATTAACAGTTGTGGGGGTGGGGGGGTCCTTTCGGGGGCTTTTCTGTGTAAATGTGTCTAATGCCAACATTGCCAGGAGGCTGCTTTAGGCAGTTTGGGCAGCCATTTGTCACCACAATCCATCTTGATAATGACTAGCAGCCCATATATAATGCTTTCCAAGCTAAGTACTGGCAAGAATGTAAGGCAACTCCTTCGCCTCAGCAACATTAAGTGCTTTAGAGGAGGATGAGAGGCAATTAGAGATGCTATGATAGTGCAGGGTTTCTCATTTCAGATCAGGATGACACTACTTAGCTTCAGTGATTAACACCACCTTCCATTTGAACTTAAAGTGGAATTTGTTTGTTTAATCCCTTAACATACAGATTTCCCCTTTGGTTTCCCCTTAAGTAGCTTCCACGTTGCTAAAATGGCCATATTTCACACTGTCTGACAGAATTACATTCTGTATCAGCTTGTTCCAGATCTTTTTGATCCTATACATGTTTACGAATGAAACATTGGAGCCAAATACTTTTTTTATGGCTTCACCATCCATCAAATAGAAATATTCTTGCTCAGTGTTTGGCTGCTCAGCATGAGTTTGCAATGACTGGCGCACCAGCAGGCCTCTGCGTGTTAAGGGGTTTAAAACCGGTTCTTTTAATCCATATTTTGCTCACAAGCAAGGTGAATGTTCTGTTGGTCTGAGAAAGGTTTATTTTAACACAACTGGCCAAAACGCGGCATTAATCTGCCATTTTAATCCGCTTTCCTCTGTGTTTTCTTAGTGCCTGCTCATCATGTGTAAAGCGTAAACTTCACGTGTTAAGAATGTCATTAAGGCTTCTGTGAAACGCCAGTTTTACTATCTTTAGAGGCTTACAATGAAGTGTTTTCTGTTGCTAAAGAAACTGTAATGTGTCTGCATGCTAAATCCTCTTTGACATCAGAGCGGACTGTACAAGGTGGTGCAGTCACCGGAGCCGTAAGAAGGATCAGAAGGCAAACTCCCCACTGTTCACTGCACGCATACTGCAGGAACACACACATATGTTCACACAGCAACTCGGATACACATCACTGCACACATGACTGTACACAAATACATAAATGATGCAAAAGTGAGCAAGGATATACACCTGTACACCTGAACAGAGAGGAGAAGAATAGATATTATTACAGATTCACTGTGCACACTAACATCATTATCTCTCTTTTTTCATATTCACTGCAGAAACTGAACTGGCTCTTAATCTCACTGAGATGTGCAGTACAACACGCTGTCATCACTCACTAATTCTCTCACTCACAACACTAATTCCCTGGAACCTCCAGCCACTAATTATAGTAATTTAGTAGACACTTTTATCCAGAACACCTTACAGCACTTTGAAGGCGTATATTTTTTACTATGGGTGGCCCCAGTGGGAATCAAGCCCTGACTGCTGGCAGAAATACTAAATAGCTGTACAACTACTGCTGGTCGGATTACATGGTTCTGTGCTTAGTCATTCAGAGACTCACTGAGTCACTCAGTCTCACTATATCAGTCGGTCTTTTACTGCCCACTTGTTCGGCACGCTCATGTGGGATATGTCGCACCAGCACTCACTTAGCTACACTTATTTCAGTAAATCCAAATGGTGCATGGTACTTTCAATCACTTTTCCCTTGAATAAGATCCAAAGAATGTTCATCTCTACAGCATTTATTGCTGTTTTAAAATCCTGTTATTTCAAATGAAAATTCAGCCGGTGACATGGGGTGAGTTATGAGTCCACGTGTATCAGCTTGCATCAAAAACTTTCTTGACTGACATGCCATTAAAGTGTAATCAGTGCATGCTATTTGCTATGGTACTTGACATTTTAAAATACCCATAGAAAGTTCTTGCAACCTATTGAAAGCGCCCCTTTGGCTCTTAAATAAAATGTTAAGTAGGTGTTAAAGCGGTGAAGCATAAATTATGGGTTATGTACCTCTCACCACAGGGCGCAGCGGGACAGTAACGCGTCAAGGATGCAGTCAAGGGAGGTTGTCCACCTTCAGTGGTCCTTGCGTCCGCTTCCAGGTTTCGGTTTCCATGGCAACATAATCTGTAGTATCCTCAGGCTTGTCCTTGCTCCTCTTTTCTCCCCCCTCACCAGAAAAGTTTCAAAGTCTTGGAGACAATCAGTTTTCCATCTCGCTGGACAAGATGTGTCTCTTTTGTTTCTTTCTCTCTCTCAGTCTAACTTTGGCTGTTTAGTCTTTTTGTTTGCTGTTTTACTAGAGAAGCTCCAGGTCTCAGTCACAGTAAGCTCTTATCTTAGTGCTGTGGAGCCTGTCTGTAGTCTGTCTTTGAGAGTGTTTGACTCACTGTAAAGCCTGCCTTAGTTTGAATCCCCACCACCCCCTTCCCTCCTCAAGACTGGGAGGGTTTATCCTGTTGGTCATTGTGTGAATCAAACCAAGCTTCACTTCTTTCATTTAAGTCTGTCTCTCCCTGCTGTCTGTCTCTCTCTGCCTGTAGCTATATTTACTTTACATCTTTTTTTTTTTTGTAATTCCCACCCATCCATGACATATCAAACCATTCAAAATGACAGCTTTTCCTTTGTCTTCTTTCATCCTTTCTTCCCTCTTCCTCTGTGTTTGACATTTACATTTTAAGGAGGTGGATGACATTTTGCCACCATGGACAATAAAGGTCAAAAGTGTGAAGAAACAATGATCTCCTTCAAAAACCCTAATTTATCCTCTCTCTCTCATTGGCACTGTGACCACATCACTTTACAACCCATAATCCCCAATCCATAAATCATTGCATGCATGTACCCAGACACACTAACAGGGTGCTTTGAAAAAGGCCACATTTCACATTCCTAGATGCAACAGAGACAATAATGTTTGTCTGTTCTGTGGCTCTGGCTGAGCTGACCACTGGGCACAGAGACTGAAAACACGGGCTGTCACTTCTGCCATCAAAGAGAGAAAACATCAACAGACCCTGAAAAACCTCAGACGGGTACTGTCTGAACAATAACCCCTTCAGCAGACCAGAGGATGATGACACTTTTGCATGACAAAACTTCATTTGTCTGAAGAGTACTGTGGTGCATTTTGCTGATCTGTGTCGAGGAGGAGCTGGTTGGTGAAAGGAGGCAGATCCCTGCTGTAGGAAATAATTTAACACCCTCTAGTGGCAGAAAGCAAAAGTGCATTATTCAACCACTGTTACCTGATTCTTTAAACCCTGCAGAATGAATCCTACACTAGTCTTAATTGCTAAAGCAGCACTGTGTGTTCAGAAGGTTAGAAAAAATCCAGAGCCAGCCAACGTAACAGATAGAGGGCCAACTTTAATAATACAAGTAAGTAAAAGTGTCTTTAAATATGGTATAAAAATAAATGCAGGAGAGAATAACAAAGAATTATGTTCTACATAAGACAGGAGACAGCATTTTTGTAGATTTGAATGTGACTTTACAAGTGCAATGAAAACCATATGTGCTAATTATTGTAGTGCAATAAAATAATGCAAAGCAAAATAAATGCACAATAAATAATCATAATAATAATAATAATATATATATGTATATATATTGTATATTCATTCTGCACAACACTTCCCATAGCATGACAAAGTATCTGTGACCTCAGATCATGTAAAGCGATGACATTGGTTAGAGTTATCCGTTTAAGCTGTCATTATATATTTTTTTCTATGTGTTTTTTTTTTCTTTTCTTTTTTTTTTTCTCTCTGACATCATTTGTTTCCGCTGGAAGTGAGAGAGGGGGCTCCGATCCCAGCAGTTACGATGGTAAGAACTGGAACGCTGGATTTAATTTCCATCAATGACATTTTTCATTTCGTCCAGTCTGTCAGTGTCCTCACGAATCCAGCAGTGCCTCTCTTGTCTGAGAATACTGGAAATATATCAGGTACTGTAAGAGGAGAGAGAAGAAGGAACATCCTCTCCATGGACATGCAACATCCGGTGGACAACAGACGAACAGACGGTCCGGCTCATCGCCCGGCTGAGCCAAGAGCGGATGGACAGACAATGATGGCGAAGAGATGAGATGGTCCCCTCCCTCTCCATGTCCCAGAGAGAGAGAGAGAGAGATGGCATTGATTTTAGCATGATGGCACACGACTGGTCAGCCTCTTGGATGCTAGTGGTTTCCCCTGTGCAGAGAGAGCAGACAGGTGGAAATGAGAATGAGGTCAATATGTAAATGTGAATGAGAGAGAATAAATACATGTCAATGACAATATGAGCAACCATGGACATGACATTACATATAGTATGTATACATAGAACCTATAAAGGTGCTAATAAGTGTGTCTATCATAACATATCTACAGTTACTGGTAGTATCACTGACAATACAGCAACTACATGACACTGTACAGTATGTATAATTTTGTATTGGACATTACCTGGAAGCAAGAGCCATCAGAACAAATTCTTACTTTTCTGTAGGGATAAAAAGGACACATTAAGTAAATCAATTTTACTGTGCAGAGGATTATATAAATTATAACATGTAGAGAGTAACAGTTTGCAACCCAGATAGATAAGAACTGCACTTGATGTTCAGCCTACCTTAAAAATGTGTATTGCATTCACATAATTTGTTAAAAAAACAACCCTGAACTATAATCCTAAAATCTTCTTTGCCAAATTGACAAGCAGAAGAGTGCAGGAGGCGTGAGACAGAGCAGGTTTTAAACACATAAATAGAGTGTGCCAGTAAACCCGGAACTCCGTTAGCACTTTTAGCACTTACGTTTTTTGAATGGGATTTTGGTAAAATGCCTCGAATAAGGTCTGTGGTTAACAAAAGCTTAAGCGAGTTTCAGGTTTTGTTGTACGACATAAAACACGTCAGTAAATACCCTACTTGTGAATTTTGAAGCTTTTACGTGTTGTAAAAAAGGTGGTTGCTAACAAGTTGCTCAATACGACTACAAACCCTGTCGGGGACATTAAACGTCATCACCACCAAACAGGCGAGAGTGCTGGCAGTCCATTACAGCTTCTTATTTAGCTTAAACAGTCCAATTTTCCCATTATACAATGTTTTTAAAATAAAGCGGCCGAAATCAGTTGAAAGCTTAGTGGCGATGACGTCAAGAGTCATGCGACGGTGGAGTAGTCACGTAGTCCGTTAAAGCCTAACGTTAGCTTTTTACTTCTGGCGATCGCATTTAAGCTTCAAATGCGGTATGAAAGGTGTTCATATGTGAAGATTATCTCGCTGAACAAAACCTGTAAGTATCATAAACTTGTGTTAGCCACAGAGCTTATTTTCTGACATAATCCAAAACGCAATACAAAAATCACATTCACTTTCTCTTCCGGGAACCAGCGCAATGCTAAACTTCCGGGTTTTGACGTCAGCCCTGCCACACTCTATACACCTGTGTGATTCTTAATTATTCATCATGTTATGACAGCCTCTGTGTCCCTGCTATTCACGATGGTTTCTGCAAACCCAATACCCTGATCGGCTAGTCCATCATGCACAGCTGACGCAGACTCTGTTAATATGTTTTACTCTCTCTCTCTGCCCCTCATTGGTATTGCTCACATGCGGGTGTTTGACATGTTCTTTTTCTTCCCTGTGTTAAAGAAGTTTTTCACTGCTGGAAAGATGGTCTTTCCACAAAACTGGGCTGTCTATGCAGTAGAGTGATGGAAATACTTTTGAAATTGCTGCCACATGTTCAAGCAAAACAGAGAAAAAGACCATGGCATTTGCTTTCGCTCAGGAGGTAGAAAACTACCAGAATGCACTGCACAGCACCTGAATTCTTTGATGCAGGAAACAATATGGCGGCTGGCTGGTAACAGATGATGTCGTGTTACAGTTAAATGGTAAGCTAAAGTATGTTTCTGCCTGATGTGCATCTATGCAGAAATGGTACTACACTTCCCAGTTAGCTGAAACAATTTCCCTCAGTGGAAACAAAGCTTTTATTTACTTTAATTCCACAGATAAGAAACAATAATTTGTGAAGATAACAAAGCTTCCACAAAATAGCATTTTATGTCTTGGTGTGATTTATCCTGGCTTCATATGAATGGAGGAAATCTCTGCTCGTTGCTAGGCTACGTTATACAATGTAAAATGCCATAGGCTTATGCTAATAACGTTAGCATGTTGTATTTGCTCGGAAAACGTGTTTAATATAAGACAGTTGTTTTGTCAGTGAACTTTGTGAGTTGTAATGGAGCTGAATTTTGTAACGTTACCTTTGCTAAATGTTGCTATTGTCCCTGGCTTCATATGAGAAGGGGAGAATTTCGCTAGCTGCTAGGCTCATTTTTACAATGTAAAATGCCATAGGCTTGTGCTAATAACGTTAGCATGTTGTATTTGTCTGGAGAACGTGTTGTGAGTGAACTTTGTGAGGCGTAATGGTGCCGAATTTTTTAACGTTACCTTTTGTTAAATGTTGCTGTTGTCCCTGGTTTCATATGAGAAGAGCGAATGTCCGCTAACCTCTAGGCTAATTTATACAATGTAAAATGCCATAGGCTTGTGCTAATAACGTTAGCATGTTGTATTTATTTGGAAGACGTGTTTAGTAAAAGACAGTTGTCTTGTTGGTGAACTTTGTGAGTTGTAAAGGAGCCGAATTTCGTAATGTTAGCTTAGTTACATGTTGCTGCTGTCCCTGGCTTCATATGAGAAGGGAAGAATTTCGCTACCTGCTAGACTAACTTATACAATGTAAAATGCCATAGGCTTGTGCTAATAAAGTTAGCATGTTGTATTTCTGGGGAAAATGTGTCCAGATAACTACTTGTGTTTGAAATTATCGCTATGAAGCCATGTTTAATGTGTGTTTTGAATTAACTAAACTTTACAGCACTTCACAGAAACCTCTGCCGCCGGCCAGTGTTTTGGAGGTGTAACTGCAGACTGACACAGACACAGCTGCACAAGTATAAATGCTCAAAGGCTGTGCATAGAGCTGATGCACAAGTGCAATTCCCCCTTTTGTTTTATTGTTTGAGTGAAGTATATTCAGCATCCGCTTTTACAATAAAGAATACAGTATGGTGGCAGTTCACAAGCTCTTGTATTACAGCTGAACTAAATCATGTTTCTAAAACCATTTTGGGCGTAACAAGGGCAATGCTGTAACAAAATCTTGGTTTATATATATATTGTTGCTGTTATTTTTTTGACAAACCAGCTTTCATTTATGAGTTACTGGTGATCAAACCACAAGTAAAAGGAACAGAAACACTCTCCATTGGGATGCTCATGTTGTTAATCTACAATGGTTTTCTGCCCCTTAGTGGTCAGAAATATCTGTATAAACTTACTGAGCTGAATTATAACACCCTTGCCCCTGCAGCAGAATATATGTCACTACAGGTGAGTGCAACAGCAACTAAATTTGCACGCTTGTTTTGTACGTGAACGGATTGCTGGGAATAGGCTTAAAGTGTGATTTAACAGACTCTGAAAAGGTGTGAGTGTGGGTGCCAGGAGGGCAGGTTTCAGTGGCAGGTTTCAGAGTGGGTGTATGTGCAAACAGCAACAAATGTTGTAAGCATGCACTGTCATCTGCATGTAGTTCTCTGTATTTCATCCTATTTCATATTAAAATGTTTATCCACTGTTTTGTGCTTTATACCTTCTTCTTGGCCTGTAATAACTCCTGGTAGGCACTGGAGCGGATGAAACGGCTGTAAGAATCACTCTTCATCAACTTGTAGATGTGTTCCTGTTGGAAAAACAGATAATGGGGCAATAATGTATAATGCTTGGTGTAAAAATGTACATAAGCCAGAAATTAGCTATTGATGTGATTTGATGTATTTGTATTTTATGCACCTGTGCATCCTCAAAAGCGTAGCGACCAGGATCTTTGACATTCTGGGTGGTTTTGTCGTAGCTCTTGGAGTCCACGTTGATGGCACTGGGCGCTCCGGGGGCCAGAAACTCCTGCCAGATCTCCTGAACCCGGGTTGGAACTTCTCTGATGGGACGCTTCTTTAGTTCCTGGACCGCTAGCCAGAACCTACAGGCCAAAGGTAACGGTAATTAATACAGCACAAATCAGAAGCTGCACAAGTAATATCAAACTATGTAAACTCATTTTAAGAGACAAAAATCTCACATAATAATTCATTAATTACTTCCCATCCCTTTCCATTTTTACACATATTAAATTAATAGAAGCATGCCTCCTCCATGCTTCCATCCAATAACAGGAGCGTTAAAACGATGCTCAACTGGCTGAGATATTAAAATGTAATTCAATTAATCTGACCACATTATCAGCTTTGGGCAGAGACAATACAGGCATGTACCATCAGAGGGAGCAGGGGAGCTATCCTGCACAGTGGTTGCTCTATTCATATTTAGCTGTTTGCATGCATCTTTGATACTCTGCAGTATTCCTGTTACCATGAATAAACCGATTAGCATAATATTCCTGCCCACCTGTGTTATTCTAGCCACAGCCACATTTGGTGCATATTTAAAAAAAAAAAAAGAGGAAGCTGCATCCACCAGCTCTCCCTGCTTTGATTAAACCGTCTTACTGTAGGTTACTCCTTATATGTGGAAGACGCAGTGACCCCAGTAATAACAGTGATAGGTGTTACCTTCTCAGAATTATGTGAGATATTACTGATCGTGGGTGTCATCAGAGAAACACATAAAACTGATGTTCAGTTATTCCAGTGTAACCATATGGGCATATACAGTGGGAATGCATATACTGTATGTTTCTGTGAGTGTTTCAAATAGAGTTCATTTATGTGTTTGTGTGTGCTCGTATTAATCACGTTGTGGAGACAAATATCTGTTCACACAGACACATTGTGGGGACCCATGTGGGAACAAAAAGCTGTTCCCATGAAATTCAACCCTTTATTTTAGGCTTAAGGCTCGGTTTGTGGTAGAGGGGTACAATTAGCAAAGGTTTAGGCAGCCGTGAGGGGTGTGATTAGGCATGTGGCAATTACAGTTAAAGGAACAATTCCTTTTTCAAATCAAAACACATGACTGGATCTTGTTATCTTACCAGCTATGTTAGTTAACAGGCAGTGGTAGAAAGTGAATACTATCCAATCCAAATTTTCCTCTTACCTGTAGTGCTGTTTATCAATCAACATTGTTTTGTGTGAGTTGTAGAGTGTTGGAGATAGATGTAGAGATGTCTGCCTTCTCTCCAATACGATGAAACTAGATATGGCACTCCGCTTGTGGTGCTCAAAGTGCCAAAAAGTACATTTGGAAGGCTCAACAACAATTTCATGAGTTTCATGAGTTTCATGTTTCTTTCTACCAAACTACACCAGCCAACCGCACCGTGCTGGTCCTTACAACCCACCCCACTGAGGGAAAGAAGATTTCAAGAGCTGCATTGAGCTAGCTAACATTATAGCTCAGCTGAGAGATGTACGCTTGATAATGCATGGTGATAAGGTTGGCAGGTGTACTTCGATAGAAAGAAAATAGTTCCTCCATGAAACTGTTCACAACAATGTCTGTGGATTATCTTGAGTAACCGGGTCATGATTTCTGGAAAGACACATTGCTGTTAGGTTTTCAAATCTATTTGCTTGGCTCTTTGAGCACCACAAGCCGAGTGCCATCTAGTAAAATTATATCGGAGAGAGGGCAGACATCTTTACAGCCAATATCTTCTACATCCAAAAAAATAAAGATTGATAAACAACACTACGGGAAAGAGGAAAAATATGTTGATTTTGGGGGTGAACTGTCACTTTAAGTACATTTTTAGGTGCTTCACCTGAGTATTTTCATTTTATGCCACTTTATACCTTTAGTCCACAAAATTTCAAATTTTTTACTACATTTATTTGACAGCTTGCTTTGCAGATTATGATATTACGAATTAAACCTATGATCATTTTAGAGAATATGGTGAATTGTTATAGATCAAACTAATTAATAAATGTTTACAAAGTAGTTTAAATGGGCTTTATCAAAAAGCTGTTTACATGGTAATATTCCAACACTCTGAAAAAGGCCATTCTGTGGGGTAAACATAGCAGTAAAACAGTCAGCAGTGGAAAAAAATGCAATTTTATTTGGGTGGAAGCTAAACTCTATAAAGTCAGAAATATAAACTGAGGCTTTAAGGTTGGATCAAGCAAACAAGGAATGAATTCAAGGCAATCCAATGTTCTTATAGATATTTTCTGTGTGTGTGTGTGTGTGTGTGTGTGTGTGCATGTGCATGTTGGTGAGTACCTGAGATTCTCTGAGCTGAACTCAGACTCCAGGAACTTGAGGAACTGCTCTCTCCCCACCGGATCTTTGAAAACCTCATCAATGCCGAAAGCCCACCTCTTTACCCTCTGCTGGCCTGGCTCCTTACTGGAGGAGGAAACAAGCATTCAACTGATGAATGAAGTGTGCAACAAAAAGCTAATGTATATTAGCTGATCCACTGTGTATATTCATCCAAATATATTATTGCTCTTCCTCTGGAGACATACACCCACCTGGCTTCAAGCTCCCAAAGTGTGGTGTCATCTGAGATCCAGGGGTTGGATGGATCTGGAGGCGTGAGGAAGGGGTCGTATTCGACGTACTGCTCTGTGTAGCCCAGTAAACTGTTATGTGAGGAGAAAATAGAGCGTATGAATGACAGCTATATGTGTCACTGGTGGAAATTTTGATCTGTATTATAATCTAGTTATCACATACAGTAAAGTTCTGCTCCGTTGCTTTCTGATAGTCACCATGAATTGCGTTGTCTGTTTGTAAGCTTTAATTAAAAAAGGGAAGTGGAATCCTACAGAGGAGTGATGCACCCACTTGAGAAAAAATGATTCTTTTCATGGAAACTTTTCTTAGATCTCTGACATAATAATCTTTTTAATTCAACAGAACAGGGCAAATACTTCTGCTCTCGACTGAATGCATTACATTTCCGTAGAATCCTCCTCAAACTGAAATAAAGTTAGAGCCAGACAAGAGGGACTGACCCTGTACTTGGACACAAGGCTCTGCTGAATGCTGAAATCTCTTTTCAGTGAAGGAAATGACAAATCGACACTTTGTGTGCCACCCAGTATCTGGTATCGTCAGCACTGACGCCCACTGAAGGCATTGTCTGGGCCCAATCACTCTCCAAGGTCATCGGAGCTCTTAATTCCACGCCATGTTAGGCCGTTTAAAGGCTCAATAAACAGATCGATGGCTAAACTGAATAAAGTCACAAAGAACATCGCTTACCTCTCTGCCACTTTGGACATTTTCAGTCGATGCCTGTCTAATTGCAATTGCCAAAAGGCGATCTGAAACCATAGCAGGGAACAATTAGCATACATCAGTCTCCACTAATTCACAAGAAATTGCTACTTTGCAAGTGTATTCACACACCACCCACATGATGTTTTTATTATTTGACTTCCTGTGTGCACTTTAAACTCTGTACTCATTTTACTCAGTTATGTACATATCACACTTTTATTAAAATTATACTAAAAAAATAATGCAACTATGAATTACAGATCAAAAGTAAGAACTAAAATTACAATTTAAGTGCTGGTATTGACTTCATATTGTTAAAGAGAGCGCTCCCTGCAGGTCTAACCTGTTCTTGCAGTTCTTCTTCTGTAGGCTGCTTGGCCTCTGGGGCGGGGGTGTGAGTCGGGCTGTGGGTACGGATATCATTCTGCAGCCCGTACACAGACTAAGGCAACAAAGAACAAAAAAATTAAATAGAACTTTCAATAGTAGTGGACTTATAGCTGCTGACAAGCACAGCAAGGAACAAAAAGCCTGTCTGTTCACGTCTGTGTTATCAAGCCTGACCTTAAACGAAAGGCGTGTCAGTGGGAAAATACTGTACCTTTCTGGTTTTGTGGGGGTTTTTCATTCTGGACGACTTCTTTATGTCAACTTCCGTTGTATTCACACATCCAGGCTGTTGGAAGAGCGAAGAGAAAAATCAGAAAATTCAGTTAATTCCACTTAAATTTAATATAATTACAACTTCAGCTGTTCCTGCTCTGCCCTCCAGAATAACGCCACAAACGGCGAAGGTGCAATTTCGCCACCGTGTTATGAGTTTCAGGTAATCAAATCCAATTTGCTTAGCTGGGGTGTGATTCTGAGAAGTCTCCGGGACAATGTGTCAGATGCCAGTTAATTAAACATGGAATGTGCCGATTCCAGCAAAACAAGTAAACCAGCGGGAAATCAGAGTCTTAGTGTGCAAATTCTGGCTGATTGAACAAGTGGTCTAATCTAGGTCTCTTCCAGAAGAACAGAGCTAAGTAGCTTGACAGCGTCACTGTGAAATTTGAATTAATATTGATTATGTTGCTCCAAGGACGCATAAATTGAACTTATTTTCCAATTAAGCATGGAGCAGCGGCTTTCAGAGAAATACAGCAGAGGAGACCCTTTAACCTCAGGGGGAAAATAAATGCTAATGCTTAGCAAGTGTGTATGAACAAGGTAGAGAGCAGCAGTGAATGCGATGTGTTGTGACAGTTATTGATGTGGTATTTCATGTGTAAGGCAGGGGAATGCACGACGGATGGTTTACAGCGTTCTCACCTCTTTACACCATTCCTATACTGTGTAGTTTATGTGTAAATCACATGAAGTGACATGAAAAACATAATTTCTTTGTCATACATCTTGATGCACCTCTGTTGCCTGGATTAAAATAACCCAGAGAGCGTAAATGATATACCATATCAGCAGTATGTAATTTTGAATGTGTGTGTGTGTGGTAGAGAGTGATCAGTGTGAAATTATTTTCCCAATATCCCTCACTTTTGCAGGAACAATTAAGATGATGTTGATAATGTCGGCAATGATATCGGCAGCAGCAAAGGTGACAACAACATCAGTAATTTCACTCACCACTGGTCTGTGCACGTCCCAGAATGCTCTTTCCTGACTGTCGAGAATTTTCCTCTCAATTTTGTCTCTTTTCTTATCCACTCTGGGGGGGAGAGAAGGGAGTTCAGAAAACAAAACATGCAGCTTATTCAAACACACCTACCATCTGTAATCGTGCGCTGGTAAATACAGGGATGTTGGAGTAAAGCTAAAGGAAAATTACCATTTTTATATCAATTTATCATTGTGTGTTAAATTGAATATATGATGCCTCCACCATGAATGAAAAATCCAAAAAAAGGTGAATGTTCGTCATGAATTGAAGTCATTGGGGGCCACATTTATTAACAGCAAAACTCAGTTGCAGCCCTCGCACATGTGGTGCCCTAGGCGAGCCTTCCCCCCAGCGCCCCTGGGCTGATATGAATGTTTGAATGAGATGAATGTTTGAAATTACAATTTCGCCAGTAGCTGATACCAATGTTTTTATATTGCCATTTCTGCTGTTTTCTGGAGTGGTTTATTCTTCTTTTGTGCCAGGGAAATGCAGAAATCTACACTATTGACAAAAATAAATGAACAGTTTTAAAGTCATTCAGTCCTTCACTACACGACCTTTGAATGAGCACAAATTCAATAATACACATTCATGAAACAACCTTTAACATAACCTTATTTCGCATGAAAAACCAGCTCTCCTCCTGCCGATTTCATGGGTTTTTTTGTTCACATACACTCCTTTCAGTAGTGTAGTGAGTTGAGTGGGCACCAGAAAGCTTTTGTCGTTTGACGTGATGACAATACAGCGTGTTTCGGGGTCCATGTGACGTCAGAAGTGGTGAGCTGAGGACAGGGGCTGGGGAGCAGCAGGAACCCAAAGCTTTGCTTTGTAGTTATGTTGTTGTGGCCTTATGTAATATTACAAAATAATAGTAATAATAGTTTTAGTACAAAATAGTAAAAGATGAACATTTTGATTATTTCCTTCCCCCACTTGTGGCATCTCCGCCCCATGGATGACGGCGCCCTCAAGATTTGCCCTCACTGCCTATGCCACAGCCTGGCGCTGGCATAACTGCATCAAAACATCTGATAACAAACTCTCACGCAGCTCGGGCAGTATAATCAAAGTCTCATTTACCCTGTAACATACTCATTTTTGGTAAAACATTACAATTTAAAACATTTCCGCCTACGGGAAGTGCACTCTGAGTGTGCCTAGGCATGCGTGTGCATATTAGCTCCACTTCAGTAGAGTTCAAACGCACACGCTTGCCCAGGCATGCTACAGTCCTTGGCCGTGCATGAGACTGTTTTGAGTGGTGTGTTTTAAATTGTAATGTTTAAGCAAAAATGCACGTATTTGGGAAGTACTGAGCATACGACTTGATAAATGGGACTTGGATTACACTGCATGATTTGTGTGCGAGGTTTTAAACAGGTGTTTTGATATCGTTCTGACGTTTAATGTGGCCTTTGCTTATTTTAATTCATGAAGAATGTTTGCTTTTTTTGGATTGTTCGTTCACTTTACGAATTCAAGGTAACACAGTGAGAAGTTGATATGCAAATGACCATTTTGCAGATGAAGTGTTCCTTTAAATCATGTCAGAATGAGGGTGTAAGGGGACTTGCTCATAATGGCTCAATGTGTGTGTGTGGGTCTTATAGAAACCTACTTCGCTTGTGCTTCTGCTTGCATAAAAATGAACTCCCATTTCCTGGCGAAAGCTCTCTGTAGCCTTGCTAAGCTCTCCTGCAAGTAAAACAAAGAACAATAAGGTGGGGAAAGAAAGGCTTTTGAGGGATCTGGGCTGATTATGTTTACCGCACATGATGTGTACAGTGCACGGCTGGATACCATCTTTAATGATCCCAAAAGCAAAAAAACACACCCTGAGTTTAACTAACCCGGTGATTCATTTAATAGCTTTGGTGAAAAAGGAAAGTTACCAGTGATGCAGTGGCACACAAAAATAACAAATGTTTTCAGTGTCAGCATGAACAAAAAAAGGCAAGAGATAAAGGCTGAGAGCCGAAAGCAGAACAGATATGTGAAGAGAGGAGCACTGACACTAAAAGGCCTCTATCACTTACCGCTTCATAGTCTGCAAGCTCCAGACGTGCTTTATTTTGCATTGTTCTTTTGCAGAGGTAAACAGCTGAGAGACAGAGACAGAGAGATCCGTAACAGAGGGAGAACGGGATTTCAGCTTGGTTTTAACAGCCTTAAGTGGCCCTGCGTTTACTCATTTAATCCTCTCAACTGCACATTTAAACTGGCCTGCAAATCACAAAGGTCATTGGCTGTGCATGGTGTCTGAGCGCCTGTTACAGTGTGTGCTTCTGTATGTGTGTGTGTGTGTGCGCGCGTGTGCGCGCGCGCCTGACTTTTGATGTCTTCCTGTACTATCATCATCCCTTCATCCCTTTGTTAACTGACCATTATGTGGAGGCTTCATTATGCCATTACGCTGTTTTCATTAAGGGGCATCATTCATGTGAATCAGTTGCTTCATCTGAGACGCTCTAACTTCCCCTGACGCTCACGGGATTATTCCCACGGCGAGCATTAGCCACATCCTTCTCCTACAACTCACAAAACAAATGAAAGACCTGCAAGGCTGCGGCTATTCTCTCAAACCATTTTTGGCATTATGAAGTGTTTATCTGCACTCCACTCCGCTGTAAACAATGAAAAGCTCATCCCTGTATTGCCGTTAAAACCTTGAGCCAAATGTGCACAACAGGTGCACGGGCATGCAAACACATCCCTGGTTTCCTTAAATGTTATCAGTCTGCATCAGTCAGAGAGAATGCCTCAGGCAATCGACTGAGGTTGCAAGATACTGAATATATAAATATATAAAATAGAAATAGGAGTTATTGCATGCCAAGTGCACTATAACCATTTCTGACTGTGGGCCAGGCAGCTAAAACGAAAGGTGATTTCATGTTTCTACCTACCACCCTGCAGTTGCATCATCTACGTTTCATCTTTTGAAATTTTAGTAACACTTGCAGTAATAACATATCTACTGGACAAATGCACTACACAGCATTCTGCAGTTTTAGCCTGCTCATACTGCACTCTGCACAACACAGGCATTAGAGTATAAGAGAACAGCTCTCTCACCATAGTCTGTGTTTTCTGGTTCCCAGCAGTTTGATGGCCAAAAGTATGGAGTCTGAAGGGAAAAACAGGTCATTAGGAAACAAAACCAAGAGAAACCTTAAATCTTTGACAGTGTACAGCGAACCACATGGCGTTTTGGATCAAAGTGTGCCCTGTCATGCGAGGTGGGCACGCAGTCGCAGCCCCGCATCTGTCACAATAAAACATTTTGTTGTATAATGGGCTCGGCATAACGTCTAAAGCACATAAGCTCCTTTCAGTGAGTGCTGAGAGCAGACACCAGCATGAATCTTGACCCTCCTCGGGGCAGCGCTGTATGGACTGGACTGGCTTCAGATGGAAACCGATTGCACGTAAAGAGCAAAGTGAAGCCGGCTACTAACACAAACAGCCTTAGGCATTGATCTACTTTGGTTAGCTCTGTGCCGCACACTTGGGGGAGCTCGCAGGGTGCAAAATCACTAAAACTGTCAATCTCACTATTGACATTCAGAGTGATGTTTTTTTGTTTTTTTTTTTCCAGGGACTGTAACAATTATGAAACACAGCAACTCCTAATCAACGTTCTGACTCTGGCACATCACACAGAGGCACTTCAACAGATTTATGATGATTGTGGCTCTTCTCGTGTGTGAAGTGATTTTTGTTCTTTATTTTCAACAGTGAAGAATGAGCTTCAGATGTTTTATGTAGAAATGACAATACAGTTTACAGTAGGAGTAAAGAGAACTCCCTCTGCACAGCCAGTCTCGAGGATCAGGTGCTGGTTGGCCTGCAGGAGCATCTCAGATAAAGCCATGAACATAAACCACCGCACACTGAACTGAATTACAGTGATTTTATTAAGAGCCAACAACGCGTTTCGCCCGTGGCTTCTTCTGGTTCGCTTTGTTATTTGATCTATGTTATTTTGTGTAGCTTTATTATGCTTTTTGGATGAATTGAAAGTTATCTTTTGAAGAAGGTGAAAGAAAATATATTGAAATAAGAAAAACTGTGGTAATTAATGTGACACATGTATATTTAACACACCTGTGAGTGCTCATGTGATACTTCAGTCCCAAAAATCTCCTGCAAACCTGTCAGCATACCACATGACTCTGCACTCTTAAACTCAAAACTTTCTCTACAGTTCATTTGATGACATAACGTGGTATGACCTGTTTAAAAAATGATCCCATGTGAAGTGTTTCCCCTTCAGTCATTTTTAAATATTTCCACAGACTAATAGACTAATAGCGATATGATAAGACCCTTCAACACAAATAAGAATCCGAGCATTATCATTCTTACCTGAAACCTATAGAAAGTGCCATCGTCTTTGAGAGTGAGGACGTGGTCTGAGATGGGGAAGAAGTAACCATGTGCAGCCATCAGAGTTCCTAGGTGAAGAGCCTCCACTGGGAGAAAACACAGACAAATAGTACATTTAAAACTCAGTGTACTTGTATCATTTGTGTCAGTTTCCCATGTTATATTGTACAACAACACGTACAACTATACTTCTTATTTTAGAGCTTTTATTGCCTGTATTACAGAGCAGCTGGAGAGTGACAGGAAAGGGGGGAGAGGATGACACGAAGTAAATGACTTAGCCTACATGGGGCACACGCTCTGCCACGTGAGCTAGAAGTTTCCCCACAGCTTTACTTTCCTGTATTTAAAACATTCACATGTTTCAGCATGTTTTGGGAGTGTGTTCAGTGAAATAGCTGTGGGCAGAAAGGTGGTGTCAACACTGTCAACTGCTGCGCAGATGTTATATGGCCACTGTGCTCTGAAGTGAACTTTCAAAGTGAAATTCTAAAAGAGTGAGAAAAGGTGGAAACCAAAATATTTTAAATCTTTAATTTGTAATTTGTAATTCATCTCAGGCCTTAAAAGAAGTTGCACGTCATTTTTCTAGTCATATTTTGGCAATTTCAAGTTGAAAGGAACAGACTGACAACTTACTATTCTCTTACTTGGTGGGGGAAGACACAACATCAAGTTGTTTTTGTAGGCAAATTCGAGATATTGTGTTATTTTGTGGGCGGCACAGTGGTGCAGTAGCAGTGGTTAGCACTGCAACACCAACCTAGCTAGAGGGTTGTTGGTTTAACCCCCTGACAGACTGGGGCCCTTCTGTGTGGAGTCTGCATGTCGTCTCCATGTCAGCGTGGGTTTTCTCCATGTTCTCCGGCTTCCGTCCACAGTTCAAAGAGATGCAGATTAGGATATTTGGTGAATTTAAATTGCCTGTAGGCATGGGGTCAGGGGGAATATGGGTGTGAATGGTTATGTGTCTCTATGTGTCAGACCGGTATCGGAATCTATCCAGGTTGTACTCTGCCTCCTGCCCATTGTCAGCTGGGATTGCCTCCTTAAGAGGCAATGTATTTTCATCCTAACTCATCAAACATGCAAATATGATGTGCTAGCTACCCTACTGTGACATTCTGGGATGGTGTGTCAATTTATGCTTATCATATGCGTCTTTTCAAAACACAGTTGTGTTTTCAAAGGAAATGTACAAGGAAATGTAAAGTTGCTGCTAGTTACATGCATACAGTCTTTTTTGGGATGATGGTGCGTAGCAGCAAGGCAGTGCATACATGGGGCACTGGCACTATCCACTAAGCTACAGACGCCCCCGGCTTTATAATCTTATGGGACGCAAATACCTTTCTCCTGGGTGAAAGTCTGTGTTTATTGGACCCATCCACAACTCCTCCCACCTGCCCTACTCGGACTTTTGCCACCTTAACTTTCGTTCTTGTCCTGCCGCATTTTCCCCTGATACCACCAAGCACCGTTAAACTATAACGGCAACTGGCTGCGTGTCATGCTGACGTTAAAGGACGGCTTTTTTTGTCAGTGTCTGACACCGCAAGTCACTGGCCAAGCGCCGGTTTTCGAAGACTTCAGAGTGCGACTGGGCTCCAAAAGCAAATGGATGATTAAAAAAAACATCACAGCTTGGCTTATAATAGGTCACATGTGACATACATCATATGCTCCTACATAGTTGCCGGCAATGTCACAAACTGCTGTCGGTTTGTGTGTTTTGAAACAGCAAAATGTGCTTTTGTGCATCAATATCTCACGCAGAATGACAAAGAGGTGATATTTGACGAGGCTGCTAGCTGCCACCACTTGGTGCGCATCATACCACTGTGAAATGTGCCCTTGTGCATCGGTATCGGACGCCCAGATCACTGACTAAGCATTTGACGAGTTGGGAATGAGAACAGGTTGTAAGAGGATAAGCTGTTACAGAAAATGGTATTATTTCGTGAGCTTGGGTGGATTTTGTCACCATATGAGTGATCCAGGCTAGCTGTCTTGCCCTGTTTCCAGTCTTTGTGCTATGCTATGCTAAGCTAAGCTAAGCTAAGCTAACTGGCTGCTGCCTTACATTTAATACTGATATGAGAGTGGTATCGATCTCATCATCTAACACTCCTCCAGAAAACTCATAAGCGTATTTTCAAAAATGTCAAACTCCTGCTCCGAGGATCAGGCTGATAAGGCCCTATCTTAATATAAATGATAATTTATTGTCTTTAATCACTTGTATTCAGTTTATACTGAAGCATTAAAAGATAAACCAGCTTTGGGATCTCTCTTTCATTAAAAGAAGATTCTCTGATTATCCTGCAATCAATAGTTCCTCATCACAGATCCCAGGCCAGCGTGCTGTGCTTTTGTGTCACACAAGCTAATTAACTTTATTCACCTTTCATCCCCAGGTATAAATTTTATCCTTGACAAAGCAGCCAGAATGAACACCAGGACCCGAGTGAGAAGCTGTGGCTCTAATAGACTCTGACACTGCTTTGACAGAGCGATAGGCAGGTCTCCGATCCAACCAAACAGCACAGCAGGAGGTCCCGCTGATTAGCCCACCTTCAGCCGGAGAGGCGGAACTCATCCGTCAAATCACCTGGTGTTGTGCTTGGTTGGAGTGAAAACCCTGAGTCCCCCTGGAGCTTGGCTGCACGTGGTTGACTGTCCTTGATTTAAAACCATCAGATAATGAAAACATGTAATCATCATCAACTGTGTGTCTCATCTGCCACCAGTTATTCCCCGCTGCTCTGCTGTAACCTCCTTTATGGTGTCAGCATCTATTATTCATGTGTAGTATTGTGTCGACGACTCCCTCTCAACATTGCCTTTTTGGGGGTCACTGTAAACAGTATAGCAAACTGTTTATTTACATGTTGTTACATTCAGTAGCGCCCCTGTTTGTTTCTGCCGTGTAATTTGATTATTCATTGAGTGATTGGTGTAAAGCCCAGGGGACGCTGGCAGTAAACTGTGATCTTAACACATAATAAGCCGACAGATAGAGAGGTTGAAATGCTTGACATAGTTTAAATAGGCAGAGTTATGACTGCTCTAACAGAAGCTCACTGTATGCATTTATAAAATATGCACATCTCTACTCCTTCGCTCTCAAACACACACACACACACACACACACACACA